GTGATTTGAACTCGTATAGGTTGGACAGGTTCTCACCATTTTCTTGCCTAGCTTAACTTGCATTTCTATTCTGTTTTTTTATGGCACTATTTTTGGTAGGTTGGTCTGTTTTTTCCTTTTGTGTAAAGACAGATGCAAAAAAACTAATTAAATAGTTCTACTTTCTCCCTGTTGCTTGTCACCTTCTTGCCACTTTCTCCCACTAATGGACCAATCATTTCCTTCACTTTTTTCTTGTTTTTTACATGTTGGAAGAAGCTTTTTTTTGTTATTTTTGACTTTGGTCGTAAGCCTTAGTTCATTTTGAGCCTTAGCTTTCCTCACTTCATCTTTGCAGGCTTGGGCTATTTGTTGATATTCTGACTTAGTTATGTGCCCCTCTTTCCACTTTCTATACTTGTCCTTTTTATGTTTCAGTTTGTCAGAGAGTTCTTTATGCAGCCATGCTGGTTTCTTTTGAGAGCTGTTATTTTTCCTCTTTATTGGTTCTGTGCTGGACTGGGCTTTTATTATTTCACTTTTCAAAATTTCCCAAGCTTCTTGAGTTGTTTTCCCTTTGAGGATTCTTATCCATGGAATCCTTCCCAAGCCCTCTCTAAGTTTATTGAAGTTAGCTCTCTTAAAGTCCAAGACTGTAGTTTGACTGTGTTTTATTGCTTGTGCTTCCATAATGTTGAATTCCAACATTGCATGATCACTTCCTCCCAAGGTTCCTGTGGCTTCAACACCTTCTATCATTTCATCTCTGTTAGTGAGAATTAGATCCAAAATGGCTAATCCCCTAGTTCAATTCTCTACTTTTTGGGAGACAAAATTGTCTGCTAGGTTTGCAAGGAATCTGTTTGATCTTCCACTTGGTGCAGAGTTTGTCTCCCAGTTGATGTCAGGGTAGTTAAAGTCCCCCATTACTATTGTGATGTGCTTCCTACATATCTTAGTTAGTTGACTAGCAAAAAGTTCATCTATTTCCTATGTTTGGTTGGGTGGCTTGTAGTATACACCTATGGTAATGTCGTTTTTTCCCCCTTTTATATTGATCCAAATGCATTCAAGAAAGTTTTCATCATTGTTGTACTCTATTTCTGTAGAGATGTAGTTATTTCTTACATATAGAGCAACTCCGCCTCCTCTTTTATTTGGTCTGTTTCTTTTAAATAATTTAAATCCCTCTAGCTGTGTGTTCCATTTGTGGGTTTCATCCCACCATGTTTCTGTAATGGCAACAATATCATATCTGCCCTCATTAACCTGAATTTCTAGTTCACCCTGTTTGCTGTTCATACTCTGTGCATTGATGTATAGACATTTGAGTCCTTTATGACTGACCCTGTGTTTACTTTCTATGTAACCTGTATGGTGCTTGAGTTCCCCTATTGTCTTACTACCTATCTGGTTAGTGCACTTTGTGTGACACTTGCTATTAGAAGCTTGATTTTGCTTGACAGCAAGGTTGATATTCTTGTCTGCATACACATCTATGTTACATGCACTGATAGCCCTATAGTTTTTAGATTGCCTGGGACAGGGATGCTCTGTATCAATTAACTCACTGTCCCCGCTGTTTAGTTTAAATATTCCTCCAGAAAATCTGTGAATTTATAGCCGAGTAACTCAGTCCCTTTCTTTGATGGATGCAAACATCTCTTTTGTACATTTTTTCATTGGGCCAGCTACAGACTTCGTGACTAGTATATCCAAACCCTTCCCCTTTACTCCACTCCTTTAGCCACATATTGAATTGTGCTATACGCTGGCCTTTTCCATTTTGCTCCTTATATACTGGTAAAACTTCTGAAAAAGTAAGCCTACAGCCTGTTCTGTTAAGTTCCTGCTCCAAGCTCTGGAAATCATTCTGCTCAGAGAGTACATCTTTTTGGGACAGATTGTTAGTGCCAAGATGTACAATAGCCTCCACATTATAATCCTTGCTGGCATTCTTGATTATTTTAGAAAAACGCTTCTTGTCCCTACTGGCAGTAGCACCTGGAAGCACTTGTTAATTCAATATTTCTGATCCAACAGCATCTGATGTATTGGTCACATTTGTTCCTTTGAATTGACTGGAAATGTCCAAGGACAGATATGGACTACAAAGAGCAGAGTAAGGGGTTTTTCTAGTTTTTGAAGTTCAGTGGGATGAATTTTGTTTGATAGTTATCCTTCCTAGGGCAATAGGCAAAAATACAGTAAGCAATAAAATAGATATCAATGGAATATTAATGTCATTAGCTTGCAAATGAGCAAGGTATAGTCAAAGAGAACTGAGCACAAATGTGTTGTTTATTTTGGCTAGTAAGGACACATCAGAGTAACATGAGTTAATGCTAACAGAATAACGAGAGTCCACATTTATATTCCCACTAAGAATAAGAGAAGCTTCTAATATGTCTGCCCTTGAGAGTTAATTGAAGTTTAATGTAACTAACACCATAACCTCATACCTAAATAAGTAACTACAAGATACTTCATACCAACCATGAGAATTTTCCTCAAATGCTCTTCTTCTCAGAATCAAATTCTCTTTCATCAAACAAAATGAATGTGGATGGGGGGGAAAGAAGGCAGAAGGTTGTCGCTATCCAGCACTACTATCATTTGTGTATTGGTGTCTTAAAATATTACTTTTACATTTTGAAATAAGGAAGAAACAACTGATTTTTAATAGTATGCTTGCTTAAGTATATTATTCACATCAGTACATAATTGTTTTATAAATAAATAACATTGATTTTATGTAACCAGTTGTCAAATTGTCATCTTCTTCAACTGTGACAATCTTCTGATTTTTTGTGGAAAAGGGTAAAACATCTTACTAATTATAGATGGAAGAAACAATTTGGTAAAATTGTTTTACCAATTGCATAGCATGAATTCATACAAAGACTACAATTACACTCACATATCATACTAAGACATAGCTTGTATAAGCCACAGGTTGCAAACATGGGGATTGGATTCACCTAAAAGCCATAATTACAGTTAAGTGTAAGAATTTATTAGCACGTTAATTTATGATCTATCATAGAGCTTTGCAGTCTCAAAGCAAAAAGTTTGCTATATGAACAATCAATGAACAGGCACAGGTGATCACTCTGAGGCCAATCTTTTCTAACCTGGTGTACTGCAGAATGTTGGGGAATCATAATAGAGAAGGTTGGTTAAGATGAATGTGAATGAACCTGAGACTTGTGGCTTCCTTTCTCTCCTCCAGGAAATAGAATGAATACCTGTTTTGACATTATGGCATATGGATTTGCCAATTCTATAAGTTCCAACAAAAGATGCTGGTATTAGAGCTCAAAGATGAACTGAGTGGCTGATGTGAGAACAAATTGCTTGATAGTGTTATTTGCATTAGTTTCAGGCATTTCTTTCCTTCCTTCTTTCTTTCTTTCTTTCTTTCTTTCTTTCTTTCTTTCTTTCTTTCTTTCTTTCTTTCTTTCTTTCTTTTTGAAAAAAGCTTTCTCAGCCTAAGTAAAAATCAAAATTAATATTTTCTCTTTTTAAAAAAATTATAGATTTTTCATCTTCAGCTCTCAAAGTTTTAGCTATTATGAAATATCTCCATATAGCAAAGATGAATTTTGATTGCAGTAGTTAATTTTTTATAATACTAGATTTTATTATCTGTGTTGTTTTGTATTTTACTGGTTTTTTTATTGTGTTATTTGGATTTTATGGTTTTAAGATTTGTTTTAAAATAGATATGCCACACAAAGAACTATTTTATGAGGCTATTAGAGATTAAACAAATAATTCTCCTTATCTGATTTTATTAGCTTTGCTTAGATGAAAGCACATACCACTAAATGAAAACTGCAATTTGTTCTAAAATAAAAAAGGATCCTTCCTTTCCTCATACATAAAAAAACAAGAAGAAAGGGAAGAAGGCTATCTGAGCATAAAATTTTGATAATTTAAGCTATAGCTAGTAGCCAAGGAGGCAACTGAAGCAAAAATAATTCTCAGAATGCTTTCCTAAAGAAATAAGGTTTAGTAAAATTTCAAAAATTGTTAAAGAGATTGACCCTCCTACCTTGTGTTGTATAAAAATGCAGGTTTCTTCAAAGATTGATGTATCTTGTATAAAACAAGAAAATAGGAAATAAAACTTTCAAAATTACACTCTATCTTTCTCTCTCTCTCTCTCTCTCTCTCTCTCTCTCTCTCTCTCTCTCTCTCTCTCAGGCACAATTATATATCTTTAATTGCTATTTAGATATCAATTGTATGGTATTGAATATTGATATTATGTTTTATACTATCGGCTTATGACTACAACTGAGGACATAATTTTAATCAGTGATGTGGTCATTAAACGAGTTGGACCCAATTTTATAACTGGTTTTACTGTGGTCATTAAGTGAATCTTTGTTAAGCAAATCATGTAGTCATTAAGTGACTCACATAGTCATTAATTGGCTTCTCCAATTGATTTTACTTGTCAGAAGCTGGTTGGGAAGATTGCAAATCATGATTACATTATCACAAAAGGCTGCAGCTGTTGTAAATGCAAACTGGTTGCCAAGACCCCAAATTGTGATCTTGTGACCATAGGGATGGTGTTACAATTGTAACTTCAAGACTGGGTCAAAAGTCACTTTTTCCAAGATGGTCATATGAGCCATCATTAAATAAGTAGTCATAAGTCAAGGACTATTGTGTTTTCCCGAAAATGACCCAACTGGAAAATAAGTCCTAGCATGATTTTTCAGGATGCTCAAGTATAAGCCTTGCCTCTAAAATAAGCTCCAGTTAAGATTGTCAGCCAGACAGATGCATTTAGTACTGTATTTCCCTGAATATAAGCCCTAACCGGAAAATAAGCCCTAATGCATCTTTTGAAGCCAAAATTAATATAAGACCCGATCTTATTTTCAGGGAAACACAATATCTGTAACTCAATTTGAGCTACACTTAGACCTGCAGTTCAGCAGATTTGGAAGGAAACAGAATATGTATTAATGCTTCTAAGTGTGTTTTTGTTCTTGATTTTTCAGGTCACCTGTGCAAATTTAAGCAGTGGTGGCAAATCAGAACTTCTAAAAGCAGGCAGTTCCAAATCCATACTAAAGCATATATGGACAGAAAGCAGCAAAGACTTATCAATCAGCCGGCTGCTATCACAGACTTTTCGCAGAAAAGAAAATGCAACAGATTTGAGTATGCGGTACGATGCTCCTGAAACTTATTCAGAGCAAGATCTATGGGAGTGGCTGAGGAACTCCACGGATCTTCAAGAGCCTCGATCCAGAGCAAAGCGACGGCCCATTGTCAAGACTGGGAAGTTTAAGAAAATGTTTGGCTGGGGCGATTTTCATTCCAATATCAAGACAGTCAAGCTAAACCTGTTGATAACTGGGAAAATAGTTGATCATGGCAACGGGACATTCAGTGTTTACTTTAGGCATAATTCAACCGGCCAAGGGAATGTATCAGTGAGCTTGGTGCCCCCAACCAAAATAGTAGAATTTGACTTGGCACAACAAACAGTGATTGATGCCAAAGATTCCAAGTCCTTCAACTGCCGCATTGAGTATGAAAAGGTTGACAAAGCCACCAAGAACACACTCTGCAACTATGATCCTTCTAAAACATGTTACCAGGAGCAAACCCAAAGTCACGTCTCATGGCTCTGCTCCAAGCCCTTTAAAGTAATCTGTATTTACATTTCCTTTTATAGTACAGATTATAAACTAGTACAGAAAGTATGCCCAGATTACAACTACCATAGCGACACGCCATACTTCCCTTCGGGTTGAAAAAGACCATACATCTAAGACTGAGGATCCCAAGGAATAAAATAAATCAAATCAAATAAAAGAGGTCATATGACAGGGCTATTACCTCAAAGAAGAAGGCCACATCTTTTGCCCAGAATGTGTCTACATTTTGTTGCTGATATCAACTGGCTGCAAATATGTTAACGGAAGCCAATCTAATCATTTCTGCCCAGTCAGCTCCATTACATATCAGTCCAGTTGTAAATCACTATTTAAATGATGCCACATATGGTTTCTCTTTCTCTTTCCTTCTTCCTCTTTGCATCTACAGAGGTACCTCTTAAGATGACTTTCATCGTCTGATATGTTCAGGATCATCTATCATCAAGCAAAACAGATTAATTAGCTAAAGAATGGTTATGGAAATAACCAATGTTATGGAAATCTAAGTCTTGAATACATGATAATCAGTAATCCCCATTCATGCATTCCTTCACTTGAAGTAGCTGTACTGGTAAATATTACTGTGTAGGAGTAATTGCTTGTTCAAAACTGGGATGGGGGTGGGTAGCAGGGGATATGTGTGTGTTTAGAGTTCAGTAGTTCTCTTCATATAAACACAATTTAGGGTAGTGACTTTTCTCCAGCACACTGTGGGCACATTCAAGGTGATGTTAGGTGGCTCTTACTCTGCAGGGGGGGGCCTATTGAACAAATAAAGATGAGCAAACATTTGGAATTTACATGTTAACAGACCTGATGATTTTTTGCATCCTGATAGTCATCACTTCACACAGACTTGGCAGTCATCCCCAACTGAGAAGTCCTACAGTCACCATGTAGGAAAGAAAAATGCCTGAAAGGCAACCTGTAAGTTGTAAATGTCTGTCTTATCTTTATTACACAATATTGTAACAAATTCAATATCCTAGTCCTCATTTGTATGAATGGTTTGTATTGTACATAGTTTAACCAGTGTTATTTCAGCTGCTAATTAATATTAACTTGTAATTGTCTCTTTCTCTCTCCTCTCTTTCTTCTGCTTATTATAGGTTAAAAACAAAACAAGGAAATGAGGAATCCATTTTATCAATGTAGCTGTAAACTCCATTTAAGAAGACAGCATTCTGTACAAAGCATATATTCAGCTAAATTATTGTTATACACTTACAACATTTACAGTCTGTCTGTATTTAGACTTTTTCTTTCCAGGTGAAAAATATTGAAATGTACATAAAAATAAAATACTGAAATTCAGTTTCAATATGCATTCTGTAGCTGGTGGTTTAAATAGCACGAGAAGACTGATTATTCAATGGGAGTATGTTCTTTTGCAAGTCGATATATGCTGGAGACTTTGATGTTTGTTGTCCCACACTGCTGACCCAGAAAAGTTGGCCCCCACAGATCAGGTTTCTTATCTTTATATGCAACTTTTCAATCAACAAAAAACTTACTAATTCCCAGTGATTTTCATAAGACCCCCAAGGATATGAAATCAAATTTAACATAATGTCAAGAGGTCACTATGTCAGACTAAGGTTGTACCAATTTCCTAAAAATAGAAGTGAGATGTAGTACAGTGTTGAAAATTCTGATCCTTGTTCTTCATTCCTCCCACCCCAATACTTTTAACCTGGTAGGAAAACTTTGCTGGATGGGGGAAAAAAAGTTGCAAGCAGGAAACTTATCAGCATCATTTATAGATATGATGCTACATAAAAAGGTTCCAAGCATTATCTGCCATTATGATCTGATTTAGTCATAAGCCACAAATGAAATCTGTAGCATCATATCATACAGATTGCTTCATAGTGTAAATCATTACCTCAATTTAGGCATTTAAATCAGTAACAGGTGTGATAAAGATAGCTTCTGTTGCCAATATACACAATCCTATTCTAATTTTTTCCCCAGTGTATATGCTTTCTTTTCTACTTTCATGGAATTCCTATAAAATGGGACAGGCTGCAACTCAAAATCTATGAATCAAGTTCCTAGAATTCAAGTACAGCTCGAAATGGTGTTTACCATGCACTACTACCAAACACTACTGGCAAAATATAGATTAGAATCTTTTGATATTTCTATAGGAGATCTGCAATATACATCAACAAGTGTTCCATCATTCCTGTTGATTTAACAATATTTTTTCTAAGTAAAATTGTCAATAAAAGAAAGCCTGAAGAAGAAAGGAGAACCCATGAATAAATATGTGTAAAAGGGTTTCTAAACCTGGTTTGAAGCTACTGACCATTTTTTTAAATAATTCATATAAGTTAGGAGTATCTATAGGAGGATTGAAAAAAGTCAAGATGATTCCTTTTATCACATGCTTATGATTCCCATTGTTTGTTTACAATTAAAGATCAGTTATTAAAAATACATAAAATAAAAACACACATACAGTCACATATACATATTGTCTAGGATGTAGTCAGTTGATGTAGCCAGCATTCCATGATTTAATGTTCTATGGGCAAAATGTTCTCAACCTGTGGCCCGCAGACTCCTAGAGGGCTGTGATGTCATCACAGGGGGTACCACAAAGACTTGAAAAAATGTTATGATTTAAATCTTGAGTTAAGTCTTGGGGTCTGTGGCCACAAAAGGTATTTAAAGGAGGTCTATGTTGAAGAAAGGGTTGAGAACCACTGCCCTACTGAATTGACTATGAGCTTAGAGTTTCTACAAATTAAAAAATATTAATGCTGTAGAAACAGAGAATAATTAAATACATAGATTTTGTTCTGACCTTATCCATCCCATGTTCTCTTTTTGGGAAGTACAACCAGTGGCATGCCAGTCAAATACCAATTTAGATCATGGTCCTAGAAAAGTTGTACTGTCTGTAACTATCATTCAGGTTGACTTTTCTTTGGTATCAGTTAATATATGGAAAGATTATTTGGGCAATTAATGATGGCTTGTGCCTTGAATTTTTAAAGTCTTCTATTGAATGCTACTGCTTGAAGTGCTATGCAGCATGTGACCTCACTCCTCTACCCCTTGATATGACATTTAATGATCCACCCACTGATGCTAACTGAACAAGACTTGTTGCCCTATGTCTACAATAGAAAAAGAAGGAGGGATGTTAAAAATGGGCAGTCTGGCTTACTGCATTTGAAATGAATGAAGTTATGTGGATTAGCATATGAAAAAAAACTGGCTATATTATCAATAAGTAAACTGAAAATCAAGCACTATTTTTAACCAGGAAAAAATGACAAGAATATATTGGAAGGTTAGGATTCAGTGTTACAAGAAATCAACGGATCTTTAATAGATAACCTGTTTCCAACTGCTTTTTGTTTAGCTTTCCTAATGATTTCCAAACAGATTGAATTGCAGTCACACAGTATCGAATATATGTGTATATGTAGAATATATATATGTGTGTGTGTGTGTGTGTGTGTGTGTGTGTGTGTATGTGTATATCTATATATGCACACACACACATACAGTTGAGCTTTTGGGTGGTTGCTATAGCTCCTCCAAAAAGTTGGCTTTTCTTTGAAGAAGAATTAGTGATTTATAATTCTTAAAACCTGTAGAGAAATTATAGACAATTATAGTAAAAAAAGTCAAGACAGCAGCTGCAAGTGTACAGCTGAAGCACTACCCTTTTTATAAGCATTGCAATGTGTATGAAAAGGGTAGGACTTTGGTTATATGTGCATGGCCACCATCTTAATTTTTTGACCCCTGTGGATGTGCCTGATTATAGAATATCTGAAGAAAAGACTATTAACTGTTTTTAATTAGTGTAATTACATTTAATTCAATTAACATGAACTTGCCATTCCATCCCTTTCTTTGTCTTGACCTTGCCTCTTTTCTGGAGTGCAATCTTTGGCATGTTGCTGAGAAGCCAAGGGTGACTCTCCTGCCTGAAAATGTATCCTTTCTGTGCACATTTATCAAGTTAAGTCAATAAAATGATGTTTCTAACAAAAGTCATTCTAACCTTCATGGAGTCTTATCTTAAGTGTTTGCTGGCTTTCTTGTTTTATTGTTTTTCCATTTTATCTCTAAAGTTTCTTTTCCCTCTTGCCCACACTATACCCAATATTGGTGGATTTCACAGCAAGCATTAGAAATACTAACTATAACTGAAAGCCTTTTTTCAGGTTTGGGGAAAAAAGTGCTTCAAAATAAGATCCTGGGCCACAGTGATTTAGACAACATAGCAGATAAGGTACATTGTCTTAAGCTCAGCTGGAATTCAACATTCAAAGCAGGGCAATAATTAATTTTCTGTATTTTTTAAAAGGTATGTTGTTCATTTTTGCAGAGGCTTGATCTTTCTTTTTTAAATACATTAGCCTCTTATGGTCTTGATCTATGGATTCGTTTTGCTTGCTAGAATAACTAGCCTGCAGTCTCAAAAGCCAAGCTAGTTTGGTGCAATATTTGTCTGAGTTAAACGTGCTAGATTGAGATCTGAGAATATATCTTTGTTTGATTTCAGATTATATTTAAAAGAACTTTGCATTGTGTAAACTGGATGCTTTTCAAGTTAAACATACAGAAATAGAAGCTTTGCATATTTAGAAATCTCATCATACTCTGATGTTATTCAACTTCACAGTTAAACTTAAGTATCTATGCATCTTTTTAAATTTGTAACATGGATATATTTTTTTCAAATCTATAGCCTTTTAGGGGTGGTATGGTGATAATTTCCTCTGACAGCTTGATCCTAATGTTTTTTCTCTGAAAATAAATTGTTCTGTGCTACAGTATGAACAGTGAGAACAATTAAACAGTGGAACAGTTTGTCTACAGCTTGTTGGTGCTTCATCACTGGAGGCTTTTAAGAAGAAACTGGACAGCCGCTTGTCTGAAATTGTATAGTCTCCTGCTTGAGCAGGGGATTGGACTAGAAGACCTCCAAGGTCCCTTCCAACTCTATTATTCTGTATTCTGTATATTAACTCCTACTCATTACTTTTGAGATTGAAATTTCCATCTCTTTCAGAACAGAGAAAGATGTTAGCATCACTAGCATGATAGTTTTCTGGCATAGTTTAAACCAGGTTTATGGTTTTATAGTAACTTGCAGCCAAGATTAGACATTAATGTTTAGATAGCCATATTTGTGAAAAAAGTGTTTTAAACAAATAGAAGTAGAGATATGATGAAATGTGTTGTCAATTTCATATCTTGTATGTGTTCTTTCTTTCTCATTATTATCTGTATTTATCTTTCTTAGTCATATAGTTAAAGTTATCCACTGGCTTCATAATATTGCCATGTATTATGTGTTAAATTTCTTAAACGTTTATTGTAAACCTGATGGATGACCTGGCTCCTGCTTCAGTATGGATATGTAGATTTGTGTTATTATCATCAGATGCCCATGGTGCCATTATAGCCTAATATTCATCATTATAGTAAATGAAAAAATAGTATTTTTTTGGCCAGGAAACTGATATAGCTGGAGAAATATTGTGATAAGCAAGTAGGAATTTGAAAGAATTTTCAGTTCAGTTTGAACTGAATCCTAGATCTTAACCCTAATCCTAAAATAAACTTCGTCAATTAACCCTCTTCATTCATTGTACAATCTGAGGACAATTGAGCTGTAAACATTAACTTGTCTTTCCAAAATAAATAAAGCAATTATGTTTTACAGAAGGCTCACTACTTCTATTAAATGTTTATTTAAATGTTCCTAAAATATCTACAGCCACCCTTTTTGACACAACTGGCAACAGTACTGGATTTGTTGCACTGACACAACATAAGCACATTCTGGTTTCTGGTGTTTAATTCCATTTGAAGATTAAACAATCCTTTTATTTAAATCATTCATGGAATTAAAAGTAGCTGCATAAAAATACTAATATGACTAATCAGTAGTGGGATTCAGCCAGGTTGCACCAGTTTGGCAGAACTGGTAGCTAATTTTTTGTTGCCCTAGCCCAGAATGGACTTCTGGAAGCGGCATCCACACAGAGAAACTGTTGTTCATATATTTGAATCCCATCACTGTTTCTAATACATTATAATCACCATTATTTTTTAAACTTGAAGCAATAGATAAAATACATTTATTATGCTCAGAAGACTAATAGTTATTGCAATCAAATGAAACCACACACACACAAAAAGCACGATTTCCAACACAAAAATATCTCTGTGCTTAAAATATGATTTTTTATTGTGTAAAGAGTCTAGGAAGATAAAATTAGTATTTTCATGATCTAATGACATCCCTGCTATTAGGAAGTGTGGCAAATGCTTAGGCATCCATTGTGAAAAACAGTGGTAGCAGCAAGGGGATCAAAGGTCAAGATGGCAGTTGGAAAAATGCACTTGAATCTTTACTCTTTTGTAGGTGTGTGCAACCTTGACATATGTGTGAAAAGGAAAGGGGTTGCTCAGACAACTGAGATCACCATGTTGATTTCTTGACTCCCTGCAGACATCATTAATGTCTGTTTGACAATAAGTTATTGTGGTTGATCACACAGTCAGCCAGAAGTTTAGACTGGATTTGGCATTTTTTTCACCAATCAAATCCTTCCCAAGAATCTGGAATAGGCAGATATTATTGTTTGATGGTGTTAAAGGTATTGTTGCTGTTCCAGGTAAACCTGCCTTTTGCAATTGACTGAGGGTCAAGCCAATGGCGTTCAGGTCCCAGTTGTTCTGGGATTGCACCCAAGATACCTATTTCTATTGGTAGTACCTTTGCTTTCTTTTGCCCCAGTCATTCTATTTCTATTTGCAGTTCTCTATATTTTGTTATCTCTTCTCTTTTGCTCCCTCAAGGTATTGCCAAGTCCACTAGTCGGACTTTTCTGTCTTTCTTATTGACAGTTCTAGGATGTTATATGGCAGGTGTTTATTGGTATTATTATGCTGGAGATAAGAGACCTATTTATGATTGTTTTGTCTGGAATGATTTTGGTATTACACATGTTCATTTGAGTGAATTGGGGAGGAAGGATAATCTTTGCTTCTATTATTCAATGAGAAGAGTATCTGGGACAAGCTGTGTATAGTTTGAGAGATGTGTAGGTATCCAATTTCAAATTCCTGAAACAGGGTTGAAAATAGTAAGAAGTATAAGAAGACTATGCAGAAAAAAAGGGTGGCTTTCTCCAGTCTGGTGCCCACTAGTTATGATGGACTAAATGTTTATAATTGCTATTTAACACAGGAGATTATGATAGCTGAGATTATAGTGTATTCCAACACACATGGAGGTGCAAAATGGGGAAAGATTATAGCAAGATAGTGTACATTGTATAAAAATCTGTTGCCATATTCTCAACAAACAACAAAAACAAAATATGCAATGGTGCAATTCTTCTGGGCTTGCGGACTGTAAAACTCCCTAATCAATTCCAGTGTCATCTGTTACCAGAAAAAAGCTTAACAGCAACAACTCAGCCTAATATAATACTCAGCAAACATTAGAAACCCACAGAAGAAAGCAGTGAAGTAGTAACAAAACTGCTGTGCCTCTCGTGGCCTGTTTACATGTCAATCTGGAAGAGAAAGATATATGAATACTTCATGCTGGAAGCAGACTACTGGGGAAAAAAAAACTATTGTTAACTTGATCCTCTTTAAGGCAAGAGAGACTGCTCTGTAGCTCAAGGTTTTTTCAGGAAATTTAAACATTGCCATATAACATTCTATGCTCTGGTCAAGCCTGCAAAGTTCATAGAACCTTATTATGTTGGAGTGGGGGAAAATGTTACATCAAAGAGCATCTCTGCCCTTTATTTGATGGGCTGCTTAATAATAGCCTTTTCCATTTATTTTTAAAATATGATATTTTTATCAATGAGATAGGGGGGTAGTATCTGTACTCCACACTTTATCACTATGTTCTTATGACCTCTCCATGTATAAATTACAAGTGGCAGTTTTAAAGAAAATTTATTGAGGAAGCTCAAATCAAGCAACAATCTAGCAAACATAATAAGCCATGCACTGAGCCAAGTTTTAACCTAGATCCTGCGCAAATATTAAGATTAGATTTAGATGTTTCTTTCACACACACATTCTCCTGTTTTTTTATTGGAAGATAACAAATCTTATTTCTCCATAACAAATCTCATATTTCCATGAAACATAGGGATGATTTTGTTGCTGGTATTTAAAACTAAAGGATTTATACAAGATTTAGCACAATTAATTTCCTATTTATTTTTTTCTAAATTTCACCAAATCCAAACAATTCTTTTAAAAAAGGAGAAAATGTTCAATCCTACCATTGGTGCTGCCAATAAGCCACAGTGCTTGAAGCCTTTAGCCTAAAATGTTGCCCACTCTTGATTTATGTTGCCCACTTTTGATGTGCACATTATATTATATTATTAATTATAATAATTATGTTATGTTATATATTATATTGTACTGCATTACATTACATTACATTACATTAATTCATTAGCTGCCCATCTTCAGTAGACTCTGGTGGCATACAACACTAAAATACCCCATAAAAACAGCTAAGAACATTGAATCATAAAGGCAGCCCAGGCTAAAATAATTTAATTACAAAAACAATAATGCAAAACAGAGACATTGAACAAATAATAAATATAAGACCTGACTTGGGGATTTCAAAGTTTAAAGCAATGTCTGTTACTTAAGCAGAGAAGCTGAATATACAATAGTATATCTCATTTAATGAAAAGAAAGACTAGGGGTGACATGATAGCAGTGTTCCAATATCTAAAAGTCTGCCACAAAGAAAAGGAGGTCAACCTTTTCTCCAAATAACATGAAAGCAAGGCAGGAAGCACTAGATGGAAACTAATCAAGGAGAGAAGCAACCTAGAACTAAGAAGAAATTTCTTGATATTGAGAACAATTAATCTGTGGAATGGGTAGCAATTCAGAAATTGTGAGTGCTCCATCACTGGAAGTTTTAAAGAAGAGATTGGACAACTGAAATGGTATAGAATCTCTTGCTCAAGCAGGTGGCTGGACTAGAAGGCTTCTAAGGTTCCTTCCAACTCTGTTATTCTATTATGTTCTGAGTAATATTGCAGTAAATTAACTTCTTTGAAAAAATATGAACTGAATATGATGGGTATTATTTCCAAGAAATTATGCATGAAACAGACTCTGTATTTGGTTTCTCCCTTCTGTAAATATAGTGACTTGGCTTATCTTCTGGACGTTAATAAGAGATCTTCATGGAAAAACACTGGTAAAACAGGAAGTCTTGAAATGCTTCCAACAATGGCTGTTTGTGAAGTGTAAATTACAGTTTCCAAAATTTAGCTAATTTTCATTAGTATAAGTATTATATTCCCAGTATCTCATGGCAATAAGATGCTCAGCTTAGGTTCTGCAAGGCTGTATTTATCTAATGAATATAAAGTAATATACAATAGAATGCCAGATTATTGGTTTTTCTGGCCAATTTCATGTTCAGTCACTAAGGAATGTCCAACTCTTCTGGACTCCATGGATCACAGCACATGAGGCACCCCTGTCTTCCATTGTCTCTCAGAGATTGTCCAAATTCATGTTCATGTTTTGGCCAACATGAATTTGATATTGGGTTTTTCCATTTCTACAATATCAGTAAATATATAGTACGTGTGTTGCTATATTTGTCTCTTCCTTCCCTATCCTCTCTCCTCCATTTTTGTCTTATTTTATTTTTCTTTTGACAGTCATGATGTGTTTAATATTTGTATACTGCTGATGATTAATTCAATGAATATCATGTAGGTGTTTCAAAGATGTGATTTCAGATCCAATCTTTTGCTTTATGTAAGAAACATGCAGAAATTTTCTCAATCCTAAGGAAGACTAAAAATGTCTCAAAGGCAGACATAAAAAAAGCATATCTCTCAATTTAATGAGACAACTTAGAAACTGGCTGATGCAAACTCTTCAAGGCTATGAGAGCAAAACTAGACTTTTGAAACAGAGAATTTCACAGTAAGACTGACACTATTGCAACACCTTGCTTTGCCTATATACAATACTCATAGCCAGGGCTTTTTTTTGTCATAGAATGCCCAGAACGGAGTTCCGGCACCTTTTTGGGATGGAACCTTGTAGGGTAGGCAAAGCAAGTTGTAAGATGTGTGTGAGTTCCGGCAATTTTTATTTTTACAAAAAAAAGCATTGCTCATAGATAAGAAATAAAGTTGGAATTTATAATGAAAGTGTAACATGTAATGAATCCTGGTTAATTAAAATAATTTCAGAAACATTCCCAAAATTTGCAATTTTAAATGGTTGAAATCCTGCAAGATCATGAAATATATAAAATCATTACATTTGAGCAATCTTGTCCCCAGATTATGCAATCTGGACCATTTTTAAAAGATACATTATAAAATAAACTACATTATTTTTCATATAGAGGTTCATGAGCACTATGTTGTTATCTATTGACATAGGTTCAATGTGTAATGATTTACTTATAGAAGGCATTGAAAGAACATAGCTCAGTGGCATCAAAATGCTTCGCAAACATCTTCAGTTAAGGATCAAAGATAGGAAAAAGTCATTCTTCCTTGACAGATCTGCCAGTCAAAAGCAAACCATGCCATACTCAAAGGTTTGATTGTCTGATTCAAAGATTCTGATTGTCTGAATGTTTTTGCCCAACATTCTAAAC